AATTTGAAAATTATTGATTTTAAATATTTTTACATTAAAGCTTTTATACGCAGAATAATTAGAGATATTGTACTATGCAAAAAATATTATAATTTAAAAAATGGCGATATAAAAAATGAGTTTTTGTCTAAAATTGAAAAAATAATTAGGAATTAGAACAAGAAAAAAATTGATTTGCTATTTTTTATCTCCTTCGGACTATACAACTTCTGACACGTTCTTTAGTATCTTTTATATTTTGAGATATTTGTCTATGGTAATTAAAATTAGATCTTTTGTATGTGTGTGTGTGCATGTGCATGCACATGCCCAATCAGAACAAAATCATTATAATATCAAAATAATGTCAAAATGACACCAAAATGATATTTGACGTTACTGTGATTTGTTATTCTGCTTGGGTGTATGTTAGTGTATACAAAACAATAATTATATACATAAATTATATACAAAAAATCTAAACACATTGAGAAAAAAAGAGTTAAAATGTAGTATTCAATGTTCACTATATGTGTGAAATAATAAAATTAGCAAGTTAATATTCTCAATATTAATATAAGGATTACCTGTACAAAGAGATATGGTGATAAAGTAGGCCAAGAATGGACTATATGCCCAAGCATCAAGTCCTCTGTAAGAAGGGACTGTGATGGAAAATTAGTGTTCAATAAAAAATAGTTGTAACAGCCAATAACGCCTGGTGAGATGTTGATACACGGTTTAGAACTGTCATTCTCATAGAACATTTTAACATTGTATATATTGAATTGTTTAACAATATTTATAAGGGTTTCTAACAATTCATTGACGAAACATGAAGTCTCATCTGTGGCCTGAGATAAAATAAACTTCAACTGGCCATATTCTTGCTCCTTCTTGAATAAGAATTTTTGTATTTGCTTAGGTAACTCTAATATTAGATCCATCTTAGACAAAAACCTAAAAAGTATTTATGTATTATCCTACTTATGTATATATATATATATATATATATATATAT